ATTTCTTCTAGAATTTTTCATACCATCGATCATTACGGCATTTAGTATTTCCAAATTTGGTAAAATACTTGACTGTAGTAATAACGGATTTTTTGGCCGGGAACCATAAATCCGTTTTGGCGAGATTTGGCTGCTATTTGTATAGAATTTTATTTGTGAATTTAATAATTGATCAGAGTAAATTGAAATCACTGCCTTTTAATAAGAATTTGATTCATGTGTGTGAAATTCAAATTAGCCAATTGGAACTTTGCACCCAAATTCAATTTCAGATGTATGAAAATTTATTTTTAATTCTTTATTCACTGACATTACCTCAGGGATTATGAATAGTAGTCATGTGACATGTCACATCAATTGATTTTCTATAATTACCAAGACCAGAAATAAAAAACAATTACATTCCAAATAGTGTTGTGTTGTGAACAATTATTTGTTTGAGTGAAGGAATAATTCCAAATTTGTTAGAAATATTTATACATTAAATCTCATATTCCTCTTTCAATTAGAATTGCATATTCCTGAATGATCAGAATTACATTATAATAATAATAATGATAATAGTAATAGTGGAGCAGTGTAACATTCTGCAGAGTGAGATGAAATATATAAATTGTATTTAATATGCATCTTTATCATAAACAAATAAAGAAAGAGTCTATATATTAATAGTAATATTATTATTGTATGTTTAAATTATCAAGTTCATTTTTTGCCCATCAGGAATACCATCTTTTAATTTTGGGATGAGTGTTTCACATTTAGAATTGATAATGTGTTGCATTTATAATTACTCAAGGATTTTTTTGTCTAATCATTTAATATGAACTTTTTCTATTATTAGATTGTTGTAAATTTTTTGATTTTTCATCAATTAATGTTCTAACCCTTTTATACTAATATATCAATAAATATCATCAAGAAAAATAGTTACAAAAATAATATTAATAGTCACTTCAGTATTCCTCCATTCAACTTCTGGAACCAGATAATGTTCCAAACCTTTAGTACCATCATTTTTCTCATCTATTATTTCAGTTGAAAGCAGAACTCTTTCAAATAAAAATTCAATGTCATCTTTTGAGTATTTGATATTATCATCTTCATTTAGTGTTTCTAATGCAGTTCTGTATTTTTCCATTTTCTTTTAATAAATAAAAAAAAAATTATAATTAAGGATGTTGTTTAATGCTTCTATATATTAATTTTTATATATTTGAATATCCATAATGCTTTCAAATTTGACTTAAATTGATAAATTTCCTAATAAAAATGACTTTAGTAGATGATCTTAACATCTATTAAATTTTAAATTTTGAATTTATATAACAAAATTTAAGCAGGAATCCAGCTTGGAATTATATAGAAGTAAAAATAGTTTATAAGGAAGTTTTTAAAAAAATTTGACAAATTAAATCCTTGAGATTTTGTACATGTATTACAAGTATATTGATGTTTCTAATACATGTAAAGGAAGGTTACCTATTACTATGGATTAAAGTTTGGGCTTTGGGAAAATTCAATTAATGATTTGCAAAATTCTGCACCAAAATTGACTATGTATTAATTTTCTCTACTTGTTTCACGGATCACGAATTAATAATGATGATGAATTTCATGCACCACGTCGATCATCCAATGGAATTTATGCCCCACGTTATGAAAATTATTAATATACATATAGTCGCGTTTTTAATTTTTATGAGATGGTTATTTGGGAAAACATTCTTAAAAATAGAGATTAGCAAAGCATTAAAATTGATAACAACAATGTTGAAGATTGGATATCACAAAATTCTGTTGATTTAGGCTTACTGATTATTTTTAATAAACTTTTTTCAGAGGCTGGAACTGGATTAATTGGGCAACTCATTAAAAGATATTCTTTTACAAATAAGATTTCAGAATATTTACTAACTGTTTTTTTAATAACCTTTTTTTTTCAGAATTTTATTGAGACTGGAACTGGAAGAAGGTAAATAAATTATGTTTGCCTCCATAAGATTCTTTTATCATAATAATAAACAAATTATTAATATTAAATAATTTATAAATAAATTATAGATTGATTATCAGGACACTGAAAGTTGATTAAAGACTCAAAACATTCAAAAATAATTCCTTGTGTACAAAGGCTAATTTGAAGCTGGCGTCCCTATGATATAATGATGCAATTAAACTTCAGGAAGGGGCAGCAGGGTTCTGAGGTTTATTGAAATTGTGTCGTTGGCAAAGGGTTGTTAAAGCCTCCCACTTGTCTTAAAGCCTATCTGATGTATGAATGGCGTCACCTATAGAAAAATTCTATAGTTATGAGGAGTGCAAACTTACAATTTGCATGATAGTACATTAGTAAAAAGAAAATTTTATTAAATTTGACACCAATGATTAATATCAGATTTATTATTTTAAGAAACACTGGAATTTGTAATATATAAATTAGGAAGCATATCTACATACATGTGCACGCACACAAAAAAATGGAGACCATATACAACCACTTGGACTTTTTTTCAAAATTGATTCCTTAAAGATTTTATTTTCTGCATGATCTTAGTATTATCGTTATTTGGGTGATGCAATTTATTTGGCAATTAATCCTTAATAAATTTATGAACAACAATATCAAATGTATTGTATAATCATTGTAAGGACATGATACAATACATAGAGACAAAAGATATGTTGTGTAAAAGAGGGGGTCCTGGCACAGATGACAATTTACTGGGTTTTGTATACTATTTTTTTATATCATTTATATCCACAAGGCCATGTAGGCATCAATTTCATATTAATTTTGATATCATTAGTTATAACACATTGCTATGTGGTGTGATTCATGTTTCAGGACACATAGAACTGAAATAAAATTCAATTCACAAATAGACAGAGAACAAAGCAAAAACAGTCTGCATAGCAAAGAGTGCAGTTGTTATCAAAACCAGAAAAATGTAAAATTTTCAAATTAAAGATATCTGCAATCTATAAAAGTGTTCAAATATATTACTAAACTTTTAGCTATGCACTTAAATCTCTTAATGATAGTAGGGACCTGTTTGAAGCTGTTGCTCTAGTAGATATCAGAGAAGAAATCAAGTATGTAATAACACCCAGAGTTAACTACCCCAAAAAACCAAGAGCTAAGGCCATTTCATCTGTGAAATATGCTAAAAATAAGGGAAAAAGGTAGCAGACTGGAGAAGGCATATCATCCCAAAATACAATGAATTAAAGTGCTGCAATTATAACCCTGAGAGTAAGTAATATACCACTGCTAAGATTAAAAATTTTATAAAAGAAATAGAAGGAATCAAAGCTGAAAGTATCCAAGGTAACCAAACCAAGTAATGGGCCAGGGAGTGCAAAGCTGAGATATATAAAAGGCATGAAAATGGTAAATATCCTGCTGACCCAAAATGAGATATGATTTGATTTATAAAAACCAATCATAACAATTATATTAAGCCAGAGAATATGAGAAAGGAGGGAAGTCAGGTATGTATAATGATACAGAAATATGGAAACATATAGATATGCAAGATCCAAATGATTTTGATAATCTTGGCATTGAACTTGAGAGCCATGGAATTTAAATCAAGTTTCGAATTCATTCTCATATAGTATTTTAACTAACTCATCTAGTGATATTTCAATATCAAAAGTCTTTTAAGACTCCATCTTGGGATGTGGTGCACTGACAATAGAAAGAACTCTTTCAATATTCTTTTGTGTCAATCCAAAGATAAATTGATCTCCCCTATATTGAAATGATTTATTAATCTCTCATAGTAAGTATACAGATTCACCATCTTTTTGTTTACAAATATTGAACTCATAGAAAAGCATATTTTTTAATGTTAAATTTTTTTAAGTCTTACTAGGTTAAATAATCTGGGTTGGATTTAAATATATTAAAAGCCTTCTAATAGAATCAATGGGATCAGCTCTAAAGACAATTTCACATGGAAGTGTATACAAATTACTAACAAGAATAGAATCAAGCTTAGAAATCTCAACACTGAAATGAGAAATATATGATACTTAATCAGTGATCCTTCTATGAATGAGTGAATGCTATATAATGATTGGTGGGGAAATTGTCTAATTGCTACCTTTGTTATATACTTTTGTTCCACTACATTGTTATTTTTTTTATGTATATAGATAGAATAAAATACAAAGAATATATATAATTTTTTTTCATTTATACTAACAAAGAAAAGTTTACTATGGAGGAGCCATGGATTTAAAGGTTTCTTTAATATAAAAAAAATTTTTTTTTCTTGTGCAACATATATAGTTCTATAATAATAATAACAAAAGACCATTTGGCTTAATTAGTTCATGTTATCAGGCAGGTATCAGGTAGGTCTGACATATTACTGGCAGAAATAATTTTTTTTTCTTTAATTCAAATATATTCTTATTATTAAACAATAAACTGATTGTATCACATGATTATAATATAAAGTTGACAATAATTAAAATAGTAGGAGTAGAAGGTCAATAACCATGCTTTCACATGCCCCATAACTGTGAAATTTTCTCCACAGGTTGCGCCACACACATGTTAGAAGGCTTTGGACAAAACTTTTGCATATTTTCCCCTCAGACCTGGCTAGCAGTGTTCGAAATTCGATCTGCAAGAATTTTTTTGCGCACATCCAAATTATCCAATTAAAAAAAAAAAATTTTTTCCGATTTATTTTTTTTAAATTACAAAAATTACTTCTAAAAAAAAATTCTTCTACTTTTTTTATTTATCCAATGTTCATATGCATTCTCAAAATTAAAATCCTCAATATCAGGTCCATTTAAT